ACGCCCATTTTCCAAAAATTTATAATATTCTTATTTTGCGTCTAAAAGTTGTTACAAATATAAATTTTGAGTGCATAATATTCGGTAGTTACTAAAATATCGCAGTTTTCGTATTTCTGGAAATTACCGTTATATGGGAAGTGGGCGTGGTTACAGTCCGATTTCGCCCATTTTCAATACCAACCTACCTTGGATTAACGGAAAGCTACATACCAAATTTCGTTGAGATACCTCAATTTTTGCTCGAGTTGTCGTGTACACAGACGGACAGACGGACGGACAGACAGACATGGCTTAATCGATTTCTCTATTCATTCTGATCATTTATGTATACATTTGTCTATATCTATCTCGATTCGTTTTGGCTGTTACAATAAACCGTTATGTGAACAAAATGAATATACCCTTGTGCACAAGTGCGCTCGGGTATAAAAATGCATACACTTGGAGTTTGCTATTGCCGAAGTGCGACCGCTATTACAAAAAACATTTATTGATTATTATTTTTTTGAGTTCTTCGGAAACCTGGCTCGAACCCAGGCCCCGCGGAATGGTATCGCACACTGCTAACCACTACACGACAGCGGCCGCCGAGTGAGTTATGGAGCGTTGAAAAGGAAAGATGGACGTATCATAAAAAATAACAAGCAAATATCCGAAATGCATGAGAACGACGAGCTTAAAATGCTATACGACCGGATAAATATTCGAAAGTTGTTCAGAAATTCCGGCCCTTCGCCGACGGTTTCAAGACCGGTGCGAGCTGATGTGAATATCAGAAAGGTGACAGATGTACAGAGTCCCCTTTTCCATTCTGCTGAATGGTAATTTTGACGAAATTGTGAAGAAAGCGAATACCCTGATCGTTGATGAAGAAATCAATGTTCCGTTCTATAATCAACACGAGATAAGAATAAGTCTAAAAAATTATACAGCTGCTAGTTCTGAAAGAATCCGAGCTCAGCTCTTCAAATTTGTATGGCGGCAGGGAGCTGGCATGACCAAACGAAAGCATTGTTGCCGATTGTGAGATATGTATGTATGTATATGCATTAGCCTAAGAGCCACCAGGTTGACCGATTCATCGTAAAAATGAAACTCCTAATTATAAGCGACCTGAAGATCGCCCTAACCTGACAGGTGTTGCGGTTAAGCCCCAATCACAACCTTCAAGGTCGCATGAAAGACAACGGTATTAGTTAAGTAGATCAAACAGCTTTTATGGGGAAAAATTAACAGTAAAGAGTAAATTCTCGATATTAAATGTTCATGTTATTTGCAAGATAAACATTTATAATGAGGAAAATGGAATCCCCTAATCGACAGAGATAACAAATTGGGTCACACTAGCAACCTGCTCTCATGAACTTTGATTACAAATAATTCCACCAAATAGTATGTATCACGATAGTCTCAAAATTCACTCTTAAAGATTCATGCAGGCGCTCTTACGTTCAGATACAAAGTAAAGAATTCACT